TGTTCTTGCAAACTTATTTGAGACGATATAGAAAAATTTGACGTTTTGTCACTGTTTGTTGTATTTTTTCGTTTAACAGAAGTTTTGACATTTGGCTTTAGTATTGTTGGCAGATTCATTGAAGTGAACATTGGTTATAAAGCATTTATGTTTTTGTAAGTTAGAGATATTTTAGCACTGACAAATATTGAGAATAAAAGTCAGTTTAGGAATATGGGGATACCAGCGTGTAAATGATGTTGAAGTTAGTTTTTTCCTTCCTTTTTTTTTCTTGTTTGGTTGTTTATTCTTTGTTTGTTTGTTTGTTGGTTTGTTTTTTTTTTTATTTTTGTTGTTTTTGTATAAGCTGAAGTGACCAATAGCAGATCTTTTGTTCCTATTTTTTGTTCACTGATAGTCGTGGATGATCGCTACCAGTAGGAGTTTTTGCATACTTATGAATTGAAATCTTCGTTTCTTGGCGTATTTCTCTGTGAGAAATTTTCAAAAGTTTGTTTATCTATTTGTTTCCTGCCTGGTCATTTAGCCGGTCAGGAAGCGTATCAGCTACTTTTTTGCTTTACAGTCATCGGTTCGTTTATCCCTGCAAATTGTTCTTTTAAACTATTGTTTTCTTACCCCCCATTTTGGAGTCGTTGTTGCTAAATCTATGGTCCGGTCGAAAAAATCTCGTTTTCACCGCTCTTGTTGTCATTTGCCTACGGTTGGTTTTTAAACATGGTCACTTTCCAAACTGAAATTTCTCTTTACCTTTCAAAAGTGATAAATTTTTCTTTGTTGTCTTAATAAATTTTTAGCTATTTTGCTGTCTAGTGGGAAGGGCAGGATTTTTCTTAAAATCTTTTTTGCATTTGAAAAAAAAAAAAAAGTTGAGAACGTCGCTGCAAATATTATATACAGGTTTGAAATCCCCGGTGAAAAAATCTCAAATTTTGTTTACTTTAATAGCTGTCCTGTCCTGTCATGTAGAAAATCTCTGTATATTTCGGTGATGTACTGCTGCTGGTTGAACCCGTCATTTTAGGATAGCGTTGTTTTCATATCGTTGTAATTAATTTTTTCTAATCGCTTTATCCTTTGTTACACTATAATTGTATATATCTTCGTGATTAAAGGAAAAAAGACGTTTTTTATTGAATCTTTGAAAAGAAATATAAAGATTATGATTGGACAAAGAAGTACTGATCAAATCAGAAGATGAAAAAGCAGAAGATAGGAAAGAATGAAGGTATATACATGCGCCAATGAAGTTAAGAAGTTTTAGGATTTCTTTGCGCCGCTTAAGATGATATACAAATACAATTGTTGTTTTCACTGCTTATTTTGCGGTTAATTCATAAGCTGAAGGCTCGCGAGAAGAAGACAACTCCAAAAAAATTGTTGGGAGGATTATTGTTTTGTCTGACAAGAAGAAAACGTTTTTTGATGCACAAAGAGGCTTTGGTGTAAAGAAAACGGCAGAAAGTGGTTGTTTTAACGTCGATTGGAAAACCAAATTTTAGAGCGTGGTTTTAAGAGCAGTCCTAACGTTGGGAGTTTTTGTTTTGCTATTGTCTGCTAAAGGCAAGAGGCAGTTATGTGGAAGAAGTTGAAAGGACAATAAATTCGGTTCGTGCAACTAAGTAACCGTCAGGGAAAATTGGTCCAAAGGAGCATAACTGTGTGCATGGTAAAAAAAATTTTTGCTTGTCATGTTTTTTCACTAGTTCCCTTTTTTTTTTCTTTCTCGTCGCTGCACTTATTTACTGGGAAAGCTTTTAGTTATATATATCAGTCTGAAAGATAAGTCTGAACAAATTTTATTTTGCGTACTTGCTTCCCCTTCGTTGATTAAGTTCTGTTGGTTTTGATACTGCTGTTCAAAATGTAGAGTAGTTTTTCCCCTTGTTCACTTAGTTTTTGTTTCATTTCTTCCCTCTTCTCTTTCTTTCCTTTTTTTTTCAATTCTTCTTCTCAAAACAATTCCTAACTAACAGTTTTGTGGCGATTTTTTCTATAAGAAAAAATAGTTCAGTTACTGCAACAACAAAAAGTCATACTTAAAAAAATCCATCTTATTTCTCAGAACTCCTCAAAATTTATACAGCATTTTTATTTTATTACATCGTGTTTTTTATTTATATTTGCCTTGAAATAGGATATTATAAATATAAAATAAAAGTGGCAATAAAGAGGGAAGGCTCAAACCACTGCTATGGTTTAGCATTATTACTGTAATTGTCAACAAGTAGCATATGACGGCTGCTGATCAAAGATCAGTTAGATTTCCACAATTAATTTGTGACTCTTCTAATTATTGCCATTCAATATCACGATAATGTTTGGTTCAAATTACAGTACAAACGAGGAAAGGTAAAAAGAAAAGAACAGGAAAATGGAAAAAAAGGAGACAGATTAGTACG